ATTCGGTCCTAGTTCTGATTGGGCCCATATTTGAATACCAAACTTACTGAAACTCAGGCGTTCCCACAATTTTTCCCATGCCGCCTTTGAGGGACACGTCAATGTCAAGGTCCAGAGAATCTGCGGATATGCTGCCAATCGCTGCTGCTGGGTGAAGCAATACTCCTGTCAACGAGATGAGCCAATTTGGATCCACATCCCAATTCGGGAACTGCTACATTATGATATATTAAGCAGACTTCATGTGTTTTACACAAACTTGTTTGATCTGTTTTGTTGATTGCAACAGTTGGAACATGGGTGACAAAATGGAACAAAATCGTTGATCATTTGTTGACCTCACACAGGCTTTCCCGGATTCTTGGACCCACCGCTTGCTCATGTGGGTTCTGTCTGAACATAGAGTAGTCGTTTCTGTCTCATGTTTAATCACCATGTTCATCAATGTTCCCATAGTTTTTCTGCAAAATCCTGGTAAAAAACTATGTTTTTCGCCAAACCCATCTCTCCAGAGACCATACCATGGCATCCTCATCGCTGAGACAGCAATCATCTACTTCCAGAATGATCCTTGGTGGGACAGCTAACCAGCTAACCCCTGATCGTTGAAAGTGATGAATCCTCTTTTTTTAGAGCTTTGTCCAAATAAAAAATGACCCTAACTTCCGATATCCCATGGTTTATCATCATTGTCCTTGTTTAGGCCATGGCCATGGATGGATGCCCCGTACGGTTGACCATGGGGAGATGCAGTGATGGTTTTTGGATATGTCTTAAGTGGTTCATCGAAAAAACATGTGAATCTGTGAACGCCCAAAAAAAACACTTTGTAAATACATGTAAATACTGCATCAGTCCTTGTCAAAAACCAAGTCATGATAAAGCGACCTCTCGGGGAATCTCTGAGTTTATCTGCCAGCTCAGGATGAAAATGGATCAAACACCGAATCCAACAGTGCAAAGACCTCGAAAACAACCCAAGATTCTCATCGAAAACTCGAAGCGCTGCAAGCTGTTCTTTGGCCTTGCCACTAACACTAGGACTCTTTCAAGGTAACTATATTGTGCCTAGGTCCAGCTGTAAATGTAGCTTGCTTAAACAGTTCATTCCATAGATTTCCATAGTTTTTTTTGGTCAACCCCTTATATTGTTCTTCGTTGAGAAAGTGCCAGTTCCACTGAGCTCAACGGCTTTAATCCTCGGATATCTGAAAAAAACAACCTTCCACCATAAGAATGCATCCCAATGAGGATGGAAAATCACACAGCAGTACGTTCCCCCTTTTGAAAATCGCTATAGCCATCACCATCTCCATCGACCTGCGTGGCTCTCTCGCGCATCTTGGCATGTTCGCGCAAGACCGTGAAGCGGATCACCTGTTACCATGGAGCCATGGTGACCGTATATCGGAGGTGGATCGAATTGCCTATGGGAGGTATAGCCTGCACCCCTGGGGCCCCTGTACATGATATTTATCTATCCTTGTTTTGAAGAGTTGTTGATTGATGTTGATTGGGACTTTGCAGATTCCTCCACTTCTTTGTATCTGGATAGATGGGAGAACAACGGAACACATTTTATAATTACACATTTTATACTTATGTACATGTATGCATATTCATATGTATATACATATATACATCATATTCATGTTCATGTATACATATTGTAATTTATGTCACATGTAAAAAAATACAAGCAACCAATAATTAAGGTTTTGTCAGCAGCGCAGCCCCATTCCATTTGCAGGAAGCTGCACTGGCCATTGATGAATTGACCATTGATTGCTGTTGGGTTTTCATGGGATCCCCCAATGTATGGATGGTTCATTTCCTGGAAAATCCTATCTATAAAATGGGTGATTTGGGGTATACCTAGTTTAGGAAACCTATATATGATTTTAGTAACATGGCATGTTTTATACAGCTAAAGGCTGCTAAAGGCCTAAAACCAGCTGATCGTAGAGTAAAATGGATGAGACATGACTATGACATGAGAATGATACAGTACTTGGCGGTGCAGTTCGGGACATTTTTTGCGATATCACCATGGTAAATTTCCCCAATAAGTTGGGATTTGGGGCCCCTTTAACTACGGTCAGAGTTCCATTTATAACTGCAACTGCATCCCCAAGTAGTGGCCATTGCTGGAACTGCCCCAGCCAATGGTTTATGGCTGACCTAGGATTCTCTGCTTTTTTGGGGGCTGATATTCATCCATTTCAAGGGCAACAAACAAAACATTCCCTTACTCCCTTATCAACATAAATTGATTCCTTCATTTCTGGTCAAACAAATTAACCTAATAACAAAACACGGTTTACTAATAGAATGGCTAGTCTTAGATACCCTGCTTTAAAAAGAAAGTGGCTCCGCAGGCTTGTATATCTGAATCTCGTTTGAACATTATTAAAGCATGTTCACCCTATCATCTTTCAAACACAGTGCACCCACTCCAATATTTTGAGGACTTTCCAGGTGTTTCAATTTCTTTGGTGAAGAACCACACATTTCCAGGTGCCTAAGCCGCTTAAGCCATCCGTCTCCAACTGTTGGCACCTCCAGATGCCGTTGCACATCCATCAGTTGGGGGCCCGGGACGACTCCATAACCTCCGCTGTAACCTGTGGCTTTCCGGTGAGGAAATCGAGGCAGAAATGAATTAAATGGTGGATTTAAAATGTATATTGGTCCTGGTGGTTTAATGAAGTTAAATGGAATTCTTCGGAATCTTGGGGTGGCATTTTTTGTTTCAGATGCATCTAGGTTTTCAGGTCAAATGGGATGACTTTTCGATCCAATGAGTGACGACCTCACGGATCTCCAGTCTCCATGTTGCAGAATGTCCCAGATGTCCCACTACACCATCTTTGTAACCGGAATCAAAAAAAATGTAGTCCTTTCTGAACCCGCATGTTCTTTGGGAAGCACTTGATTATCTGATGTTGGTTCTGAAAAATCATGCGGTGTCAAAATGGCATATGTTAAAATATGTTAACTCTGGTACCCGACAATCACATGACCATGTTCTCGATACAAATCGCCCTTCGCGGGAGCCGACAAATTCCAGTTTTCATGAGTTACCCTCTGGTAAACATACACAAAACTATGGAAAATCATCATTGAAACAATGGGCAAATCAACATAAATCAACTACAAATTGCAATTTTCAATAGCGAACTGTTACGTCCCCGGGAGCTCCGGCCTCCCATCTTGGCCGTTTCACCGTTTCGGGGCCAGGCGTTCAGCGCGCTGCGCGCGCTGTCCTGGACGTCCACATCTGGTTACATCGTATCGAGACAGTAGCGTTGGTTAAAGTCCACCCAGGGTGGTTTCCAAAACAATAAATAGCATATAGGATCTGTAAATATATATAATTACCATATAAAACCATATATATGTATGTAAATATATTGTATGTAAATATAAAAACTATAATATAATATAATATAATATAGTCTAGTATAATAAAATAATATAGTATAATATAATATAATAATATAATATAATATAATATAATATAATATAATATAATATAATAATATAATAATATAATATAATATATAATAAACCAAAATATTATATTATACTCTATTCCATTATATTAAATAATGTTATATTATATTACATTATATTATATCACATGTATATATATATATAATGTCCATATAATTCCATATAATCAAACCCAGCAATTGTATAGATGACTATCAATGGCAAACATCAATGCTGCACTCGCATTCTTTAAAGCTTCACAGATGGTCAGCCCATCGCGGGACCCACCAATCCATCCCTACCCCTCAGTACGTAAACAAAAACGATACAGAGACCCCATGGCGAAACGATGAATTTGTCTCACTTTGCTGGTTATACATCGTTATACCATGTCATATCATACCATGGATCAAAATCTCTGATGCCCTGCTGTTCACACCATCCAAGAGTAACTGGGATTTGTGCATATTCATCCCCAATATGAAAAATCTATGAACATCATAGGTCGTAACCCCCGTATTCCCTATGATCCCCACGTTTCTCCCCCAAGCGAAGATGACAACATCGCGGCCACCAAGGTACCCCAGGAGACGTGCGCGACGTCCAAGCCTCACTACCTGCGCTGTTAGGTTAGCCATGGGCAAACCGACGAAATTCAATGGGTTTCGATCAATGCCATGAAACATACCCTTATCTGATTCTATCCCATGTTTGTACTCATATATACTCGTTGGTTGATAGGCGGTATCATTGTATATGTATTTTATTGGTAATAATCTGCAATAAGCCAAGTAGCCAGAAACCCTTAACCAATCAACAGGGATATCAACAATTGTTTCCCCATGTTTTCCCGATACAAATCGCCATGTATGGGATGCTTATCCCATTCTACCTCCGATTGTCATCCTTTTCCCCAACAAATGTGCATAACGTCGGGGCTTACCACATTCTCAAACATTGCCCATATTGTGTATGATATTTACCTCACAAATTACAGTTGTCAAAGCTGGTCGATCTCTTCTGGGTTTACCAACTGCTTACCTGGCCATTGTGCGGGGGTACAAAAGGACCTATACGATTGCATGGACACTTAAATAGGTCAATATCTTTTTCAGAGCCATGGGACTTGTGAACAAATGGGTTTGTTTAAAAAATAAAGTTACTCTTTCCATCTCTTGCAAAAATATTTGTTCCACAATTCAAAAATTGCTCCTATGTAATTATCCAGCAACCAATTCTCAGACACACACTTCTCATCTTGTTGCCTATATATCCGCAATGTCTCAATAAACTGTCCCAAACCATGGTTGTTGGCTTAAATTCTCATTTTACACTATATCACCATGAAAAATTGCTGGTGAAACAGTCCCCACTTTCGCTGCGTAAATCCACCATGTCCCAATTGATTGCTAGTAAATCCCCTTGTCATATCCCCTCTTATGATCTCTTATGTATATTATATATACTATCATATTGTATTCCCATTGTATACTGTATACATTCATATATATATATATATGTACCCATGATTATATATTCTATATATATCATACATTGTTTTATTTTTTTCCTGTGGTCTGTGGTCAAAACACCATTGTGAAAAACGTCCAAGAGGCTGGACACGGCCGAACTTCCGGCGAGCTCATGGGGGCTGGCCACCTATGCAGGTTGATGAAACATCGTACTGGGAACGAATTACATTACCCATAGGATCCATGGTGCTGCCATATATGGTAACATGGATCCCATCAATATACCCCCTTTATGTTAGCAAATATACCAGCACCATGGATCCTATGGGTTATCCTTCCGTTTGACGACCATGAAATCTAGATAAGCAACATGATGGTGTTATGTGAAATGGTTGTTTCTTTAGATTCGCATATGTAAATAACTTGGGTAACTAAGTCTACATGCAACCCGTAATTTATCAACCAGCTATTGACTCACCAGTTGATCATGCAAGGCAACAAAATTCCATCACCTTTGCAATATGCAATCATCTGTAGATTATCTGAAAAATCTGCTAAATCAATCCTAGTAGGATCGAAAACATATCCATGTTCCATATATAAATATAGTGTATATGTATATATAGTATATATATATATTGTGTATATCATGGCTAGATCATCTATAACTGGGCAGCCTGTGAATTCCAAGCGCAACAACTATGTGAATTCACAGGGTAGACTCAGTTGCCCCCAACTTTGAACTCACAGAACTGCTCCAGGATCACCTCCTTAGGGCATCACCATCAACCAAGGTGCTGGGCTCATGGTCTCCTCACGGCGGATTTCTCCTGACCATGGGAGGGGTTGCAATTGGTAGAGGGATCTAATATAATGTATATATATACAATATATATATATAATTATATTGTATTATATTATAATGTATTATATCATATTAAATTATATTACATGTAATTATATTGTATTATATTATGTTAGAGTATAGTATAGTACATTAAATACATTATTATATATATATACAATATTACAAATGTCATAAATAAAATATAATATATGTTATATTACATTTATTAAACATATTATATATACATATATATATATATATATATTGTATTGTATTTAAATTATTAAACACATGATATATATTATTATTATACATATAATATAAATATTATTAAACATATTATATATATAAATATGTGTGTTGTAAATTATATTTATACAATATGTTATATGTAAATTTATATTATACATACATTATATTAAATATTATATATATATACAAAATTATATATACATATATATACAATATTATATATACAATATTATATATATGTACAATATTATATATATACATATTATATTATATATATTGTATGATATATACATATATATATACCAAATTATAAAATCATAAATATATATATATATATAATCTATTATATACAATATTATATATATATCATATCATATATATATATATCGTATCATATAAATATATATATATATATTTATTCATTGTATATATTATATGTATATACGTTAGATGTAATATTATATATACATTATATTGCGTATATATATCTATATAACATCATCAATTGCTGGTTGCTGGCCATGATCCGTTCTGTTCGACGATTTACCTGTATTGAAATAATGATTTGTCCATGGCAAACTGTTAGTTTACCGACAAGATACAACTCATGGAGTTGTCTGAAAGTTGGGTATCCCCAGTTCCGGATTGTCATTATACTGTCATTTTCTCACTAAAATGGCAATCTTTGGGGCTTAACCAATTTTCCCATGCACCCACATATCACATCGTTGGTGATATATATGATATATCCCATTTAATCCCAATATCCCCATATTAATCTCCATTCCATGAATCTCCTACTTAAATATCGCAGTTTAGAGACATCAAGTAGATACTATATATAATATATCCATGTATGTCCCTATAATTCCTTATAGTCATGTAGTCTCCACTATATCCCAGTTACCAGGTATGACATGGTATGACACAAGTAGAACCCACCCTTCAGCCACTGTCCCAAGGGTAGGCGCTGCACTTCCCGCGGCGTGCCGTGTCCCCGCGCGCTGTCGGGACGATTCAGCGGCAGAGCAGGCAACGCCGTGAAAGGCAACATGGCGCCAGCTTTGCTACAGCAGGTACCTAGACGACCTAGACAAATGATGTAAGATGTGGTCACATATGTGACTTCAATCCATTTTCAAGAGTGGATCGTCTAAGTACTCTGAAATTAACCACTATTATGTGTAGTAACCCCCAAAATGATGCGGCATTGGTTTATTTTTCCCAGTTTTTTAGGACATGATCCTTCCATATTTTTGGGATTGCTACAATAATTGCTATAATTATTCAATATATATATATTAATACATATGGACATTAAAACAACACATAATATGATGTGCTTGGGATCTAAATAAACTTATATATTACTTACATACTGGAACACACACCTATGGGTAGATCGATTAGCAACTGCCCTTGTCAACAGTTTCAGCCACAGCTCCTACTGTATCGGAAGCATCTGGTAACAATGGCAACCACAATAGAAACGCACAGTACATGTCCTAAGAACGCATACTTTGTCTGGTTTGTGGTGTCAATCCATCGGAAAAAGTTAGCATGTCAATTGGGATCATCATCCTAGATAGAATTCATAAGCAAAAATCACACCACAACTAGATATACGCGTGTATTGTATAATACATAAATGTGGATAGGTGTGTATACATGTACACAACCGCAGGGTACAAGAAATCCCAGGGTCCAGAACAAGATAGAACCGATCTAGCTTGGTGGTCTCAATCCATCAGAAACGTACGGGTTTGTACATTGGGCTCATCAGGGATTCTCTGAAAAAACGCTCTTTACAGGTACATCCAATGGTTGAAAAAAACATGTTAACATCTTCCCTATTAAAATGGCCACGAATGGCGGCCACCAGTTTCGGAAAAACCCATATGACCTATTGGGAAGCCAGGACCGCTAATGGCTGCACACATGAAGTATCCCCAAAAAACAAAGGAATGTCCAATCATCAACAGTCGAATCATGGACTGCGCTCAAACATGGCAAGAAACAAATTAACGTTTGGAGATGATTTACGTATAAAACGCATTATTCATTGCCGCATTTGTTTGTGACAGGGCAACCATTTTTTTTTTCATTGCCTACCGTTACCTGTCCAAAAATTGTGAGTTTTGCTATGTGAAGCTCTACCAGCGGGTATATTACTCATCATTCCCCATAACAATCCCATGATATCCCATAATTATAGCCCTATAATCTCATCATTTCCCGTAATAATCTCATAATTATATCCCTTTGAATCCCAAAATCTCACGAAATCCCAGGTCAATAGGATAAATTGAGACCACCGCCATCCCCGGCGACCGAAAGCCGTTCGAAACCGGGGTCCCAAGCAGCTGTCGTGCATCGCTGTTTGATAGGCTTCGGAAGCCTCAGGAACAACTGAAACTGGTAGTTGCAAGTTATAGTTGACATTTACCCTCTGGTAAACTAACATAACTATGGAAAATCACCATTGAAACAATGGGTATATAAATCCACCATGAATGGTCATTTTCAATAGCTATGTTAATTTACCAGAGGGTAGTAATTATATACTCATAGTTTAAGATTCACTAGTTGGAAAGTCCTAGTGTTTGATGGAAATGGGTAATGTTAATCTACAACCCAGGATGCCAGAATTTATGTGGCGTCGATTTTGTAGTTCGAAGGGTGGTAAACATAGCATTTGAACATGTTCCCCGCAACCCCCTGGTTCGCCCACACTCAAACAACACATCCAAACAATATGATACATATAATCATCACCAGAGGATGAATGAAAACACTTGCTATACGCAGTGATTTTGACTTTAAGTTTTCAGGATTTAGGTTTTTGTTTAGGGTTTAGGGTTTTAGGTTTTAGGGTTTTAGGTTTTAGGGTTTTGGTATTTGTTGTTTTGGAAAGTAAAAAACTTAAACCCTGCGAAGGGATTTGAGCATGTCAAAGGATATGCGGGATTGGCCGCGGGCAAACCTAGGGGTTGCAAAGAACATGTTTTAAGGAAACGTCAGAGAACACGGGGCTTTGCGATCATGTGAATCATGTGCATGTAAATGAACATGAATAAAAAACATTGCCGCTGCAGTGGTTCCAGTGCTAATAATATAACCAGCTACCTCACCTTGTGGCAGCGCCAAGTTCACCCAGTTCACCCACCCTCACCTGGACATCAATTGCAAGCTACAAACATGGGACTTAAACATACACCATATAGAATCAAATACACTGATACTTACTACTTGTTTTTGTTTCTTATCATTTCTTCCAACTGCAAAACATGGACCCACCCTGGCTGTGACTTTTTTCGAGGCCGATAAACAGCTTCAAGGTGGGGCCTTGAAGCTAAGGTTTGCACAGAAATCCAAGAGGCTTCGGCTGGTAGATATAACTGATACTAACTGATAGGGGGGGTTTATAAGCCACATATAATTGCTGGGGTTCCATTTTGTTGGTTACCTTCTAGTAGACTAACATAGAATTCAAACATGTAGATCATGTCCGAACCGGACACCCATGAAATTCGAGTGATGTCCATCGCTTTTTGTATGTTTGCTAGGAGGCTATCTTGCCTATTATATCCATCCCAAATTACTATGGTGTGTTAATTCTATATCCCATCCTATCCCCATTAATTCCCAGTTTGTCCCTATTGTTCAGTCTTGATGGTTAAATCCATTCTTTGCCATTTCTGCTGGTTAGATTCCGTTCCCTACACACACCACATAACATTCATGATTAATTCCCATGAGATACAAGCAATTAGTAATATTATGTGTATGTATATATATATATGTAATTATATATGTATATATTTTCCATGAGGCTCGAAGTTGCTGTTCGCAGCAGCCTGTATATATATATATAAATATGTATAATATGTATATATATATATGTATATTAATATGTATATATGTATATATGTATATATGTATATATGTATATATGTATATATGTATATATGTATATATGTATCTATGTATCTATGTATCTATGTATCTATGTATATGTATATACATTATACTGCAACCCCCAAACTTGGATGGTAAACCCCTTCTGCTGATGATTGATTGATGGTGAATATAATACATATATACACAAATATCCCTTCTGTTACAGGAATGGTTAACCACAATACTTCATGGATAAAGCCAGAAACTTACCATTGTTCAACTATGTTTTACATTATATATACATGCAACAATATATTACATAGTATTATGGTATGATATATAAAATATTATTTTCAACATGTTTTATTATGCTACATTATATCATATGTTTATCTTATGTTATTATTATTATTACTATTATTATTATCATTATTATTAGTATTATATCATATCATATCATATCAAATCATATATCATATCCTATCATATCATAGCATATTATATATGATTATATATATATATATATATCATATTATATTATGTTATAGTATATTATAGTATATTATGTTATACTTATTATGTTATAATATGCTTTATTACATCACATATTATATGTTGTATTACATGATATATATATATATATATATCATATTATATCATATTATATGTTGTAGTTTTATTATATATATATATATCATGTAATATTTTACTACATAATATTGTATTATACTATATTACATGAATTATTCTGTTATATTGTACATAAACATATTATATATATAATTGTAGATATATTATGATTTCCACCTGGGAGTCCCTCACTTGCTCCACCAGGCATCAATGGGGGATCGGATGGAGCCTTGAAGGCCTGGAGATCCGAAGGTTCCATTCAAACCAGTTCGATTTTATAGGGATCTCATAGGACTAGGAACACCCTGGGGATGTCATCAGAACATATCAGAATCTCCTTGGACATGTCAAGAACTGATTTTAGAGGGAAATCTTGTGGATATCTCATGTGATTCACCATCAAACATCGTGGCAAACAAATAAATATGATAGATCAACTGGTGTCAAGCGGATTCAACGGACGTTTTCCGGCAGCTCAGAACAGCATGTTGACACTCCCATAAGTAGAGATGGGATTTTTTCAAGCAACCAAAGAAACACATGAATTACATAATTTCAAGGGTACCAGCAGAAAAAAAAAATCGCTATGTTCCCTTAACCGACCTTTCCGGTTTTGGTGGGATCAGCTACTCAGTGATTTTGGTTTTCCGCCCTGATGCTCCACGATCTGCCCAGAGGCAGACCGTTGCTTGGCCTTAATTGGGGTACCGCAAAAAAGTGGATTGTTACCCTCTGGTAAACTAGCATAACTATGGAAAATCACCATTTTTAATGGGAAAATCCACTATAAATCACCATTTTCAATAGCTATGTTAAATAACCAGAGGGTAATTCAATCATCAGGGCAAAATCCGTGGTCTTGTGAGCCGGAAATTCAAGTCTTTCGATAGTTTTATCAATTCCAAGCCCCAATATAACATGAATTGGTTCTATAAATGAAACATCCTTGCTTGAAGCTCCAACCATGTTCTAAAATGTTGGATGGTTCATATTTTCCAGTACATACCCAAATTTCTTGGCTCAGAGGTGTTCAAAGCAACACTTTCAGTGATTACCGTCCTCTAAACCAACATAGATGTGGAATCTGGAAGACCCACCAACCCATATTTGGATCAATCTCCTCAGGGTTTTCCATGGGTTTTCCACATCTATGTTAGTTTACCCTAGAATAATACCCCATAGGATCCATGTATGCTATATATGGTAACATGTACCATCAATATACCCCAAATGTGAGCATATATATATATACCAGCACCATGGATCCTATGGGTACTGCAATCCTTTAACGAAAAAAAATCATCCAAGCCATGCTCCCCAGCAGATAACGCCTCCTGGCCATGGTCGCCGAAGTCGCAGTAGCTGTTGAGGTTCCGGGGGGTCATTTGAAGCCTCGGCGGGAGATGCCAGAAACTCTACTGGTTGGTGGTTGCAGAACTGAAAAATATGAGTTCGTCAATGGGAAGGATTATTCCATATATGAAATGCAAAATAAAAGTCATGTTCCTTAAACCACCAATCAGTGTAGCTCTG